TAACATTTTATATGTAAGGCTATGTTTGTCGTATTTAAAATTGCCTAGTTTGACGAAGCACACGATCTTTGTAAAATTTTTTTCGAAGACGCTGTTTACAGCAGAATGTACTCTGATCCTTCCCCTGTAATTTAAAAAAAAGGAAACATGCCTGCGATTTTTTGTCGCAAAGTTACAGCACTTGGAAGTAACCCTTGCATTTTTGTCATGTACCGTCGATATTTATGACGAACATGGCCTTACATTTAAATGGTTACACAGTGTCGAGGGTGTATTCAACTTAAAATATAAAAACTTTATCTCAAAGTAGAGATCTCAGGCTTTAACTCAAAAAAAGAGTCATCATCCTACGATGATTTTTTGCAGACTTATCGTCAGTCAAAGTTGGTCAATGTTTTTTATATCATGTCCAAACAACTTTATATAGCGAACGATTTATACCAACACCACCTGTTGGTGTTGTTTATACCCATTAATAAGTAAATAAATAAATAAATTTTCTTCCTCTTGTAAGAATTTATTAACGACGAAGAGGTTGTAATTAGTGCACAAATGAAGTAAATCGCAGGCGGAGGTGCTGAAGGCCTTTTTGGGACAACGTCGGCGAGAAAGCGACACAGAATACGTTTGATGGAAATGTGAAACGGAACAAGCACGAATGGTATTTTCGCGGGATCTCGTTACCTCGGAAAAATATAAACTCGCGAAAGGACTGCGGACACCCGAAAATGGCGGCACTTGGGAGCTCAAGTACTCGGGTGACACGCTTTTTCCCTCGACTCTTTTCATCGTTCCCCGTTGCGCCGAAACTAAGCCCACTCGTCAAGATACGAGCCCGGGGATGAAAGCATTCTCGAGTGCGTCCCGATAGGAACATGTGTACGGAATAACGCGTCGAAAGACGAAACGGCGCGAGGACGTGTACACTGACGTTCAAAAGAGTCCAGAAACCTTCAAAATTTAACTGGCGCCATTTTTGACTCGAATTACGACCATCTTGCAATTACTTTCCTTAAGGACACACAGGCTTTCCAAAACAATTCGTTTCGCGGAGGAGAACGAGAGAAAAAGGTCGTAGCCTGTAAAGTAGAATATATCTACCTATGATCTGACGAGAACAGTGTATATCTGAGAACTGATCTTCCATGGTCAGACAAGTAGTAGTAGTAGTTATGATGTACGGTCAGACAAAACTGTCTCGTGTCAGATTATTTATGATTTCATTTCATTTATTTATTTATTTATTTTGCATGGATTCTGTCTTTATTATTTTCAATGTTTATACCTATCTTTTAGACACTCTTTAGACATTGTTTCTTCAACCTAATTTTTCACACGTATTTCTTTATATTTTAGCAACGGTACTACTTGTATGTCTGTTACATTTATTATGTTTCATAGATCTCACTTTTCCTTCTCACTTTTTATATTGCACTATCCTATTTATTTTTCAAAAACCAGCAATACTATTGACACCGAAGAATTTGGTGATATAATTTGAACATTCTAGAACATTGTTTTCATTATTAGAACTCGATATCTCGCTTCGAAGTGTATTGTATTATCTTTAGCGAAAAAAGAAATATGAGAGATTTAGAACCAGTTATTGGAACTGTTGTTGGAATCAAATTTTATTCGAATATTGTCCAACTCTGTTTCATAGCGGAACAATTGAGTCCGGAACAGTCAAAATGCCACATTCCATATTTTACTGTTATTCAGACTATAAAGATTCTTTTCTGAACAATTACCGAATAAATGCATTTATTTGGATGTACTATTACGAAGTATAACTGTAATATTACTGAATATAATTTCGGAGAAATGGTGCGCACGATGAAATTGCGGCATTATCGATGATTGTAATTATTATAGTAAGGCAGTGAAATTTTCCTAATTGGTAAACATTTCACAGTAATTGAACAGCATCTGTCATTGCGCACGACTGCGTCGACTGCCATTATCGACCGGGCACAGTAAATTCTCCCTAATTGACGCTCAGATTGTGCACAAAAATGGACAATTTGGGAGGAGGAGATACTATTGATTTATAAATTTATAAATTTTACAGTTGCCATAATAATATGGCAACATAATCTTGCGGCTCATTTTTATAGTTGTCAACGATAATAAAAACGAGGTGCAAGGCTCGAATAATCGTATCCCCTTCTCCAAAAACTGTCCATTTCTGTTTACAAGCTGAAGGAAAATTAGAGAGAATTTACTGTGTTTCTATCGCACCTATTTCATACAAACTGAAGACGTTCGATATTTATCCAAAGTAAAAATCATTCGAGACGGTTGATTACTTTAATCGGTTCTCCTTCATTTCGTTCGGAATAAAATCCAGCGAAGTATAGCTGGGGAATCTGGTTGCTTTACGAGGACAGCGTAGCCGCCATAAAACGCGGAGCAGGTTCTAGAAGAGCGAGGGTGGGATCGCTCAGCAAAAAGCCGATGAAATACGAAGTGAACTCCCGGCGGACACCCGTTGTAACTCCTCCGCGATCCTCCGCGATCCTCCGCGAGGCTGTTGTAATTCGTTTTATCGATACGGTGCAGCCGGGCTATCTAGCGGCGGCCGCTTCGGCGATCCTCCCCCTGTTGTCCTCCGAACGAATTATCCCTCGTAAAACGCACGAGTCGATGCACCGCAAACGATACTCCGCGGTGTTTTACGAGGCGTCGTTCCCGCGGGCTGGCCTAGTGCATCCTCACGGTGGATTTAGGGGCGAGCCTCTTTACTCTTTGTCAACGCGACACGTTCCGCAGTCGGTGTTCCGGTCCAGGGTGAACGTTTTACCGACTTTTTGGCCGGCCGCCACGATTCGCTGTCCCCCGTTCGGTCTTTATAATGCAGTTCCCTTTGATATTTTTCGGAGGCTCTGCGAGCACCGTATCACCTTGCAAATGAAACGATGATTTATTCGCGGGAACCGCTGATTCTCGTCGTTCAAAGGCCTCCACGAATGTAACCCCTTTCTCGCAAGTTCGTTCGGACTTTTTATTATATATTGCACAAAAACATTATAAAATGGAAAAATGTTGGATGAAAATTGGCGAAATTTGACTGACGATAACTCGGCGAAAAATCGTCGCAAGATGATGATTCTGTTTTCAAATTGAAGCATGGAGCCTCTACTTTGAGATAATGATTCTAGATTTTAAGTTCGGCGCACTCTCGCCGCTATAAACATTTAAATGCGATGCCATGTTTGTCATGAATGGTACATGACAGAAATGCAAGGGTTACTTCAAAGTGCTGTAACTTTGCGACAAAAAATCGGAGCCATGTTTTCTTTTTCTTAAATTAAAGAGGAAAGATCAGAGTACATTTTGCTGTAAGCAGTATCTTCGAACAAAATTTTACAAAGACTGTGTCGTCAAACTTACCAATTTTTGATATGACAAGCACGATCACACATTTAAATGGTTACAGCGGCGAGAGAGCATCGAACGTAAAATCGAGAAACAGAATCTAAAAGTAGAGGTTTCCAGCTTGAATTTTAGATAAAGAACAGTTAATGCTTGCATTGCTTCGCTTGTAAATTATAACGCACCATCTCGTTTCGCCGGAAGTTCAAATTGGTCTTGCGAAGGGAGCAATTTTGAGAAGCACACTTCCGAGCAGAGCCCAGAACCGATGACGATTCCAGCGAGCCCGTTCCCGCCATCGATATCTCGAAGGCTGCCACGTTTGAGTCGATATAATTGCGGACTGATATATTTTTCTCGGACACGTCCGAAAGAGAAAAACGGCCGGTGTCCGGGCATCGAGCGCAGCTCGATCCGCGGTGCCGCGTATATTTCATCCGCTGCGAGGATGATTTGTTGCAGCACGCCCGGGCACCGTAGACGAGTTCGTAGAAAAGTTTCTTACGTACACAGAGAGAGAGCCCGAGGTACAATTATCCTCGAAAAGTTTCCGTGTCGATAAAGCACGCAACCGTGAAACCGGTGTTTCTTCCTCCGAGAAACGAAATTGTTTACCCCGTCCGAGCCGGAAGTTGCCGATACGTCGCGGCGCGGCTTGGCGAAGGAGAATCGTCGGTGTATCGTCACCGTGGACGCCGATACGGAAGCGAATGCTTGAGAAACGACGGTGTCGTGACGCAGGATAAATAATGAGATTTATCTACGGCCGACACGCATTCCCGTCGGAGCCCCGCGTATTATGATAATCTCATTCAAAGCTGCCGGATCGCATTCTCGTCGGCGCGTAGCTAATCATTTTCTTTTGTCGCCGGCGAATAAGGCTGATGAAATTGAAATTCGTGTTGGCGTTGTTGAAATTAGTGTTGGCGTTGTTCGAATCAAACTTTATTTGATTAAGAATAACGAACAAATAAGTAGTAGATTGCGGATTTTATGCGTTTGTGACGAAATCGAATGGGGCGAACACGAAACTGCGAGGTTAATAAACGAATTTAAAGGCATTGTTACATTATTTTTAGCTTGTTGCGATTGCTAGAGAAGGGAGAGATTTTCATCTAACTTATATTTCTTGGAACAAACTTGGACGATCTTTATCTTGCATGGAAAGTCAGCTAAAGTTTTCTTCAGGGGACCAAAATTTGTCGACTTTGCACAGTATATTTCCGTAGATATAAACGAGTGAACACTGAAAATGCAAGTACTAAATTGCGGAACTCGTTCGTTCAATAGTGATACGTATCCAAAGTTGACGAATTTTGTGCAAAATAAAAAGCTTGCGCCCCCTGTTGCAAGAAACGGGAATTCCATGAACATTTATTCCAGTCTCGAATAATTTTGAATTGTAAACGATATGATCATGTCGTTAAAGTTATCCGACGATGCATAAAAATGCATGAAATCCGCGGTCGAGTTGTTATAAAACTGTGATTGACTCACGCCTGTCCGACCGATGGCGGGACGTTCGAACAATGAAATCGACGTTGCGAAACTTTGCATGAATCACGGGATGAGAAAGGACCACCGGGAGGAGGACTGACAAACGCTGCGATGTTTTCTGTCGACAGTTGTTCATGATCGATAACTGCGCGGACGACTGGCGGATCGCGATGACCGGCCGGCGGATCGGGCAGATCGTTCTCGAGTTGGTGATCTGCGCGGTGCACCCGATCCCCGGGGAGACCTACTTCGTGTGGACGACCAAGCTGGTGAACAAGAACGGCGACTTCGGCTCGAAAATGGTGCCGCTCGACGTCGGCCTCTCGCTGCCGATGTTCTTCAGACTCTACCTCATCTTTCGCGTGATGCTGCTGCACTCGAGGCTGTTCACCGACGCCTCGTCCCGCAGCATAGGGGCCTTGAATCGTATTAACTTCAACACCAGGTTCGTCCTGAAAACCCTGATGACCATCTGCCCGGGCACCGTCTTGGTAGTCTTCATGGTCTCGTTATGGATCATCGCCTCTTGGACGTTGCGTCAGTGCGAGAGGTAAGGACCAATCTCCGTTCGGTTCACCGTAAAATTCGATCGGCCGAGCGGAATTATGCTCGGCCGTAAACATGCGGATTTTTCTGCGGAAAAGTTTCGTTTACGCGGGCCGATATAAATTCCCATTTGCGCGTCGAATTCCCTGGAAAATTTTCAATTTCTCGCGACGCAATACAAAATACAGGATCCTCCGATGATGCCGATAGAACTTTAAACGGCCACGGCCGCCATATTTGTTTATCATGAATTTTCTGATCACAGCTGAGATTTATTCGCTATAAACCGTAAATAGTCATTCGTGGGTTATTTATACATTTATATTAATTTATTAACGCTCGATGTTAATTTATAATTTGTATTTTTATTATTTACTCACTTAAACACTTTTTTATTTTCAAGTTTACCACGTTGAATGCCACGGGGGTCACCGGTGACCGGTACTTAACTTGGCGGTGACGCCATGGGGGCCACCGGTGACCGGCGCGCCCAAATTGATAGGAATATATATAATTTAAAACAAATGTCAATATCTAAAATTTTGTATTATTACCATCGTCGATTCAAACAGTGACCCCTGTCGGAATTAACATGTCAAACATGGTTATACACTGTAACTTATCTATTGCAGATAATATATCAACATTACATGTATCACATAAAAGAATATTCATCGTGGCGCCACGGACAATTTCTGTAAAACCGGCGTGGCATTCAACGTGTTAATGCCATAGAACGTCTTCCAAATTAGAACAATGAACATCGGATTACTGTCGTGGATAAATATATGTGGACAACCTTTAAAACCCTTGAAACGCCCTTTGTAACCTTTTTAAGACTGGACTAAATGACTTGATTTTTTTTGTACGTGATATAAAGACTAATCTACTAGATAGTGACTAAAACGCTTTCTCTTTAATTCCGCTATCAATTTCATTTCGATCCATAGTTTTGTCACTTTTATTAAAAGACCCTTCAAAAACATCTCGACTAGTCTATGGATTTACGAGACAATCTTTCTGAGGCGAGACAAAAGGGAAAGGGGAGGGCTCTTTCTGGAGAAAAGTCTGCCATTGGCCCGGAAGATTGATCGGCCATGCGCCCTCTGCCGTTTCCCTAAATCGGCCGTGCTATTTGCGGGAGAATTTAATTATACGCGGGACCAGCAATCTCGAGCCTCGTTCCCCTCCCTCCCCGCACTAAATCCTCTATTGCCGCTTCAACGGCGCAGCGCGACTCGGCGCCGCTCGGCGCGGCCCTCTCTCCTCCCGTCCGATATTCCCGGGCGTGATTTATGCCTTTGTTCCGCCGGAAGATTTGCCTCCCGAGGCTGTTAACACCGTCGATATTCGGCACCCGATCCGGCCTTCCGATTGTTAAAAACTACACCACCGAAAAGACAATCCCGGCGACAGGGAAACGGGCGTCCTCGGATTCGCGGCGGTGAGTAACGGCCCTGGGGAATAGTTTTGCATAGGGAATCCGCCGAAGGGGGAGGCCGATCCCTTATTTTCGAGCCGGATCTCGGCGGACGTAACGGCGACTATTTTGCATTAATTCGGACGAATAACGGGGACGTGTACGAACGAGAGAAACGGCGGAGGACCCGTGATTGCGCGAGCGAAAGAGGAATGTTCGATGGCCGGACAAGTGGAAAGGAGGCTGTCCGTGGCCTGGCAATTGGAACAGCGCGACACATGCTCGGGCAAGTAGAATAAGGTCACAGACCGTGTGCAGACGAATAGAGCGGGTATTGTCAAAATTCGAACAAGTCCGGACAATTTGTGGCAGAAACAGTAGAATTAAACGGCCGCGGTCAGACAAGTGGATAAGGGCCAGCTGGTAGCCAGCCGAGTAGAATTAGGTCGAGACGCGATTAGACGAATAAAGTCGAAATGCAAACAGTTCGAGCAACGAGAATTTACGATCGAAATGTGTACGATAAAGCCATAATACGATCAGGCAAATAGGGTAAAGACTGCCGAAATTAAGCCGGTAGAACGATGACAAGTAGAATCGGGTCGATCAGTTTAATATCTAAAATAAAATCCACGTACAGACAGGTGGAACAGACAAATCGTGGTCAGACAAGTGAAACGGGCAAACCACAATCAGACAAGTGGAGCAGGCAAATGATGATCAGACTAGTGGAACAGGCAAGACGTAATCAGACAAGTGAAATAGGGCCTGCTCGTGGTCGGACAAGTAGAATATCTGTTAAACCGGCATTGTACAACAGTGTGCGCGTGGAACAAGTAAAACAGTGACTCGTTGAAACATTGTCAATTATCTCGAGATGGTTATTAATCAGTTCGAACAATGAGAATTTACGACGAAACGTGTACAGTAGAGTCATAATGTGATCAGACAAATGGAGTAAAGATTGACGAAGCAAGATCGTGGAATGATGACAAGTAGAATAGGATCGAAGTAGGAACGTTCTAAGTAGGAACGAGTGGAACGGGCAAATTGTGGTCAGACAAGTGGAACAGACAAATGATGATCAGACTAGTGGAACAGGCGAATGATGATCAGACTAGTGGAACAGTCAAGTCATAATCAGACAAGTGAAATAAGGTCAGTTCGTGGTCAGACAAGTAGAATACCGATTAACAATCTTTTTCTCGGTGGAACAAAGCAACACGGCAAGAAGTTATTTTCCGAATAAGGACATTTAAATATGTTCTCCTAAATTTTGGTGAAACAGCGATCAGAACTTGTTGAAATTTTTCAATTACAATCGGAGTGAACTTTCGTGAAATTTTTTGCTCTTTGGAGACCACGATTGTGCCTCCCGTGTTGAGAGATAGATACGAAATGAGAAAGCAGAGGAGTTTGAATGAGTATTGAATGAATAGAGCCACATAATGTGATCAGACAAATGGAGTAAAGATTGACGAAGCAAGATCGTGGAATGATGACAAGTAGTATAGGATCGACCTGTGGTCAGTCTAATAAAAGAAAATCCAAGCAGGAACGAGTGGAACGGGCAAATTGTGGCCAGACAAGTGAAACGGGTAAACCATGATCAGGAAAGTGGAACAGACAAATGATGATCAGACTAGTGGAATAGGCAAATGATGATCAGACTAGTGGAACAGGCAAGACGTAATCAGACAAGTGAAATAGGGCCAGCTCGTGGTCGGACAAGTAGAATATCTGTTAAACCGGCATTATACAACGTGCGTGGAACAAGTAAAACAGTGTCTCGTTGAAACATTTTCAATTACCTCGAGATGAGGTTCGCATAGTTTTTGGCATGTCTCCTGCGCGATCGCGAAAACTTTCTCCCTCGAGGTTTTTATTTTCTGCAATCCCGTCACAGAGACATCCGCGGCGGCCTACCGTGGCCTACCGCGGAATTAGAATTTTCGACACGCCGGATGGGAAAGCCGATACACGTCCTCGGAAAGAAGCATCCGGGGAAACGGCTGGTCTCCCGAGATTCGCAGATCCACAGACCCGAAAACCTTTCCAGCGCCGCTTCTCGCTCGCGCGCGCGCGCGTATCGTCGCCGACGACTCTGTTTTATCTGCAACCCTTCATCCAAGTAAAGTTCGAAGGACACTGTAAATTCCTCGCTGAAATAACAGCGCGACGTCGATGGAGACGATCAACATTGTCAGAATTTATTAGAATCTCCTGGCAATGATGAACGTTCTCTTTACTCGTGTCTTTCTTTATTCGCTTCTTCGCGTTCTATTTATTCGGTTCTGTCTCGACCTGTGTATCGTTCATTTTTATATTAAAACATGATTTTTGGAAAATTACGTTGCGCGCACGGTAACGAGTACAGTCTGCCTCCTCGTTCCTTTTCCTGTTCGCGAGAACAGGTCGGAACGAACGAGCGGAAGGAAGCCAAAGAGAAGAGATACCTATTTAAACGAACGGAACCGTATTTTCCTGCGCGCGTATGAAATTGCCGGTCTCTTTAGACCAACAAAAGGTCCCGACGCGTTGAACAAACGAACGGGAAGATAACTCGTCGCGGAAATGTTTAATCTTCAATGTACGCGGGCTTTGTAATTTCATCGCAACGTACCGAGGAATTTTTTGCCCGGCCTTCCAATTTCATTTCCAGCAAGCTTGTAACGGTAATCCGAGCTACCAGTACACTGCATCAAAGCTTCCTAATTTTTCTCGGTCGGATAACTAATGGGCGAGTCGGAAGTTTGACAATTTTACGAGTCCGGAACAGCGATCGAACAGCGTGCCGACCGTACGCGTCGATAAATTTCGCCCGGTGCTCTCAATGAACGGAAAACATAATTTGTCCAACATGGAGGACACGCTCCGGCAAAAAACAATCCATCCGCGGAACTTTTTGCGACTGTTCGCGAGTCCCGGTCATTTTAAAAAACCTAACGACCACGAGCCCGCTACTTTTTGTCCCGCAATTTATTCACCGCCACAGGGGAGACGGTTTCTTGCTCGGTCACACCCTTCCCCACAAAAAAAGAAAAAATTTCGTCGTTCAACTTCCGAAACTTTGCGTTATAATACTCATTCAAACTCCTCTGCTTTTTCATTTCGTATCTATCCCTCAACACGGGAGGCACAATCGTGGTCTCCAAAGAGCAGAGAACTTCACGAAAGTTCACTCCGATTGTAATTGAACGATCTCAACAAGTTCTGATCGCCGTTTCACCAAAATTTAGGAGAACATATTTAAATGTCCTTATTCGGAAAATAATCTCTTGCCGTGTCACTTTGTTCCACCGAGAAAAGGATTGTTAATCGGTATTCTACTTGTCTGACCACGAACTGGCCCTATTTCACTTGTCTGATTATGACTTGCCTGTTCCACTAGTCTGATCATCATTCGCCTGTTCCACTAGTCTGATCATCATTTGTCTATTCCACTTGTCTGATCATGGTTTGCCCGTTTCACTTGTCTGACCACGATTTGCCCGTTCCACTCGTTCCTACTTGGATTTTCTCTTATTAGACTGACCACAGGTCGATCCTATTCTACTTGTCATCATTCTACGATCTTGCTTCGTCAATCTTTACTCTATTTGTCTGATCATATTGTGGCTTTATTGTACACGTTTCGTCGTAAATTCTCATTGTTCGAACTGGTTAATAACCGCGACGGGATCCCTCGAGGCGAGTCTTCGATGGCTACCGGAAGCAGGCCGACCGGTCTTTTAATTGACAAATTCAATTTCCGGCGTAGGCTGGAACTTCCGACGCGGCGGCCCGTGAAAGAGATCCCGCTTCAATGAAATCTGTTGTAATGCTATCCGTCCCATTAGAACCGTCCGCCGCTTAACGATTAATCCCGGCCTGTTATTTTCATGTTCGATTTCCGATAATGAATTTCGTCGGCGCAACGGAGACGACGGACGCGTCGTCGCGCGCATTCTGACGAACGAGATGATCGTAGGGAGGAATCACAGTTTAATGCAACGGAATTATTATTGCAACTGGACTCGCGTAATTAAGACCGCGCGCGATGGAATCGATATCACCTTCGAATCAATACCGAATCTTTCCCCTTTAATTAGATCTCTCCGTTATTGGAACAGGGAAGCCCGATGCGAACAGTTCGGAGAAATATGTGTTGCCCCTTTTATTGCATGCCGTCGAGATTGAAATCGATGCTGCTCCATCGTATTAATGTCAACGCTGCATCCGGAAAATGCTACTTGGAAAGAACGATGCCAATTTAATCGTCTAATTCCGACGGTTCGATTGAACGTGAAACGAAGATCGTTCGGAAAATTCAATTAGCGATCGATCGTTGCGGACGGCCGCGCGAAAGATCTGTAAAATATCGCGCGTACACGGTGCACGTTACAGGAAAACGACTATGGACCGCGTTGAATAGCCCAATCGAAAAGGAATAATGTACTGTGCGCGTAGGTCTCGAGATGGAATAAGTAAGAAACGCGAAATTAACGGCTAAGGTAACGATCGTATAATTTGTCCGGGGGACACTTTATTCCGCGGATTAATTAGACGGCCAGCAGTCGTCGCGCCGCCATCAGTGACACGGCAGCTAATCCGTTAAACCGCTTAGAATCTTGGACGGGAGCTCGCCTCGTCGGTAATTTTCGTAATAAAGATGGCCGGCGAGATTGCGACATTTAGCCGTCGCCGGGTTACTATGATTATTCGCGGCTACGGCGGCGGAGCGTGCAACTCTAATATTTCAGGCTGTTTTCTGTTGTGTGCCGGCAGGTTCCACGACGAGGAGCACGCGAATCTCCTTAATGCGATGTGGCTCATCGCAATCACGTTTCTGAGCGTCGGTTTCGGCGACATCGTGCCCAACACGTACTGCGGTCGAGGTATAGCCGTTTCCACCGGAATAATGGTAAGGCCAGACTCACGAAGTTTAATACCGGACGTAGCCGCGAGATTTGCGACCGTCCGCGTGCCCTATCGGTCGCTGTTAACGCGGCTCGTTCACACGTCCAGAAACGACCGATCGAAAAACATTCACCGATTCTCGCTTCTTCGGGGCCAATCCCGTGCCTTTGACTCTCGCTTAGAGTAGACCAGAGCGCCTAGAAACTAGCTTCTCAGTCGGCAGACGTTAGACGTTTCATTTCATTTCGACCCCAGAAATCGACTTGGCTTGCATTTCGAAATGTTTCTTAATCTATCCGACTATGCGACTACTTTTCGCGTAACCACTCATCCTTCCACACACATTACCCTAATCTGATCTCAACTGACCTATCCTATAATTTATTTTAGCCAATTTTTTATCGCAGCAAGTTTTCTTCCATCCTTCTCCTGCAGCCTCTTTCTAATTTTTACGATTCGTCTTTTACCTGTCGTTTTTAATATCGCACCCTCTTTTTCTCTTTTTTAGGCATTCCTTTACTGGTATTCCTCGTTTCGAACTGTCTATGTTTTCTTCGTACTTCATCGCTCCGAGTCCCGCTTTAATTTTCAGCCTTTCCCTTCTTTATTGGCCTATGCGTATCAATTACTGTGCCCATTGTTGGCATTCGAAGTTTTCGACCAAGTAAATAGTTTAAATTATATGTTAATGTCTTTTGCATAAGCACGAATTTTTTCATAATCGTAACTTTATGAATGCAATAGGTTTGTTCCTTTATTTCGGAAAGCATCGTTTTTGTATGTTTCTTATATTTACTTTCAACGTGTTTCTTAAGCTTTTTATCAAGATCAACGCAAAATCTCTTCGAACCATTAACTTTTTAACCGCTTTGACTTTTTAAGACCTATAAAACGCAGAAACTAATTTCTTAAAGTTTTGATTCGGCTATGAAAATTACAGATCAAATTCTATTGAAAGAAATTCAATACAAAGAAAAGAAGAAACGTAAAAAAGGAAAAAAAGAAATTCAAATTTTAAATGGAAGTAAAATTATCGTAAGGGCACAGTAAGCAACACACTGACCCTATCCCAGTACAACGTAGTCCGGAGTCATTCGACTCAGATTTACTGTATTATCTCTCAGCGACCTCGCGCAACAGTTTCAGCGGCGATAAAAACTTCGAACAATCCCTGAACAAAAGACGTTCGAAGACCGGTAGTCCGGAGATCACGAGAAATCGCTAGAACTCTCGCAGTCGCTGCAGCAATGATCCCTCGAGCCGGCACTAATCATTCCAGGATGCTCGGTTTCTTCGTCGGAGGGTTGCAAGCTCGACCGATCTCGATCGGTTCAGTTCGATGTTTTCCTCGGCAGGTGCACTCCGGTGCACCGGTGCATTCGAATCAGAGGGAATTCAGCGACTTGTATGCAGCGAGCGTTGCCATGCTAAGAGGTTATCGACCGCAGCCGCGCTGCAACTGGCAGTTACGATGCACTTGGACCGACACTTCGTCACGATAAACGCTACACCGGGTCTAATCTCCCCATTGGGACCGCTTCGGTTCCTTATTGTTATTGCGCTCCGGGCTCCATGCTAATTCGCCGATTTCGGGCTCGCAGTCGTGAATCGTTAACCAATTTAGCCGCTCGTCCCGGTCAATTCCCCGTGAAATCCTGCCTTTTGATGGCCGCGGAACTTCAACGATGCTTCCGTTTGCGTTTATCGCTTTTCGGCTCCTTACGGTGCCGCTGTTTCCTCTAACGCGGCCCTGCTTAATCAACGTGGAAATGGAAGCGTAATCGGCGCTCCCGCGTGGCTTGTTAGACGCGCGAATTGTTGCACGACTTGAACGCGTGACGCCATCTTTAACAACCGCTGATTAACCCCTTGCGACACAATATCGTGTCAGACTCGTTTCCAAGATTTCGAACGGGGTTCGTGAAACACGAACGTTTTCTTCCTCCTTCTCTTTTGAACAATTTCTTTCAAGTCGAAATTGGAATCCTATTCCTTCGTTGCCAATATTTGATCGTTAAACTAAATAGAATGAATTGTTGTTAATGGTGAAGAAGTTTTCAAAGAATTCATAGGGCGAGGGGTTCAGCTGCATGGTTCGAATGAAGCTGGAAGATCAACTTGATTTTCAATTAGGGCCATTTGTAGTTACTCCTGGTAACATTCTTGAGAAGAACTGACTACAATTGTTCAGACATTTTTGTATGATCGCACTGCTGATGAATTGTTTCCAATCATTTGATAGGTTTATTATTTACACCGCGTATTGTTGTTTGAACAGCTTTATTATTTAAAGAGTTCTATTATTGAAACAGTTTTATTATTTAATCAGTTTTATTATTTAAACAGTTTGGTTACTATTTAAACAGTTCGATTACTATTTAAACAGTTCGATTACTATTTAAACAGTTCGATTACTATATAAACAGTGACCGTTTATTATTTAACCCTCCGCTGTCACACTGCGTCAAAATCGCCACCTTCTTTCTTCAAAAAATTGGAATTAACAATTAATTCAATATACTCGGACGTAAAATATTATTCTTCTTATTTTGTATTATTATTATTTAAAAATTTTTTTAAGTGTTTTACACTCAAGCCCAACAAAATGGTCTCCACCACGAAAGACGATTTTTGAAAAGTGGTCGGAAACATTCGTCCAGCAGTGCGAAGCACGTTCAGTGTCGGCCGAGTCGAATATTCTCGGAAACATCGCCTTAGTAATCCCGGAGCAACCGAGGTGCCAGCTAAATCGAAGAGCAGTGCCGCGGTCGCGCAAGATTGGACAGGACAAAGGAATATTAAACAACCGGGAACGACCGTCTCATAAGAATCACTCGGCTCGGACGTCTGGCTCGATCCCTCTTGGAAATTGGCCGCGATATTGCTTGCCGATGGTATACCGGGTTCTTGCTGACGAAGTCGGTTTGCGTTTTCCTCGAGTACGTTCTCCCGAGTTCCTCTCCCTCGGGAAACTGCGAAATCTGTCCGCAATTAAAACCGGCCGCGCCGTTAAAGGGGTCGCGCCGCCTCGCTGTCTTTGCCGCTGCGAGTTTGAGGAAAGGAAGGGTGGCCAAGGAAAAAAGCTGGTTTTAACGGGCCGGCAGGATTTCCTTAAGAGGATTGCTAAACTGGCCGGTGATGGAAGTTCAAATAAATCCCCCACCCGGCGCGGAGATTTTGCCGCACAGTTTCCCGAGGACTTTCTAAACCGCCGATCAAGAGCTCTCGAAATAAAATGGAGCCGTCGGACATATTGTACGAATTTTCGAGGGACTCGAAGCGTCGTCGGCCTCTCTCGGCTTCGAATGCTATCATCTAGAGACCATTTAGTTCTGGCGGATTCTTGACACCTCTGCTTCGCGATCGAGACGTTACTTATCGATATTTAGAGACGAGTCTGTGAGGCAGAAAAGCCGATCACTGTGCCCTGTTGGCGGATTTCAGCGGCTTTTGCTATTAAAGACAACTTTAGCGATTTAATAGAGGTTTCTTAAGAACTCGAAGCTAAATTTCGAAGCCCCATTGGTCGACAGAAATTTTCCTACGCCATAAATATCAAATCTTTTTTGAATATTACAGGAAAGAAAAGAAAAGGTTCTGGAGCCAGTTACTATGCCAGTGTGTATATGATCTATAAAATCAGAAATTTAATATTTAACGTAGTTTAATAAATTTCAATTTCCACGAAGAAATATGTAAATATCATAATATGTCATTTAAAAGTTCATGTTAGAAAGGACTTATTAATAAAATTTCATATTTACAAATGTTTCATATTTACTTTTGAGAAGTATGACAGAGATAACTTGATATTTGAGGTTACGTAGACATATCCCGTGGTAAGTAGTAATTAAAATAATCACTGTTTCGTTTCTCCGTAATCTTAATACGTTTTACCAATACAATTAACATTGTGATACCTCACCTAGAACGATTTATTTTACCGTCAAGCTATCTCATAAACCTTACAATAATAAATAAATAATCAATTGAATCTAAATGAAAAGATTGCATACGTCCTGTTCGCTGAACGTCAAATTAATTATGCTCGAATATCAACCAAAATGGCAACCCCACGGTAACTGGCTCCACTATCCTAGTTGCCGAAGGTTCTGCATGAGTTATTCAATTTTTCACATTCGAATTTAAAGTTGAGATTAGAAACGGAGCTCGAAGATTCTGCATGCGTTGTTCGGTTTGATCTCTAACATCGAGTAGTGTCATATCCGAAGTCAACTCGAGACTAGAATTAGAGCTTTGAAGATTCTGCATGCGTTATTTCGATTCTATCTCGTTAGAGCGCGTCATCTTCGAGAGTATTTCATCCATTCTAGAGGAACTCTATTTTGCACTAGCTAGTTCCACGAAGCGGCAGCAATAGCGAAGTGTCCGGCGACATTTAAATGGCCGCGAACGTTTCCTATCGCTTCCTATCGTTTCCATTGATTACTATTGTTTCTATTGTGAAATTGAGCAACAGACGCGCGCGGCCCGCGGTTCTGTTTCTTGTTTACAGGCTGTGTGCTCGTAGTGGCAGGGAACTCCGAGGATTTCGATGAAATTAGCTCGTAATTAGTGAACCCGGCGCGGCGGCTGCCCGCCTGGTCTCGTAATTAAAATGTGTACAACGGATAGCCTCACAGGTACGTTTCACGGTGTTTTTAGGGCGCCGCGTGCACGGCCTTGCTGGTGGCGGTTGTTTCCAGGAAGCTCGAGCTCACAAGGGCGGAGAAGCACGTTCATAACTTTATGATGGATACGCAATTAACGAAAAAGGTAAGAGACGCCATAAAGCTGCGAGGATTGCGAAACAAATACGTACGTGTTACGCTACCGCTCCTGTGACCGTGATGTTGCCAATTTAAAGAACGCTTCGTGGCCTGCCCGCCAACCCTAAGTCCTGCGACAACGGAACGGCCGGAGGTCCTCCGATGGAATCCGTTATCCTGGTCCTCGATCTTTCCTCCGTGAACCGTGTAGCACCGCGAGCTCGTCGATCTCTTCAATATCGCAGCTCGTTAAGCAAAATCTTGTATTCTGTGGTAGTCATTTCGAACAATATATGCGATAACAATTACCGTTATCTTCAGTAATGAATACAACAATTTTATTGAGTAGTATACGCGACTCAATTGTTTCGATAGCGTACACAATTATAGAAACTGGCATATAGAACGGTGAATAGAATAGTCAATAATTCACAGATCGCGAAAAGACGTTTCTAGCATTTTTCAATTAAAAAATTACGAGCCACTCTGCTACGAAGCAGAATGAAGAGTCTCTTATCCCTGTGTGTTGCGTCGTGTTTGTGCTTCCAGTATCTTCCAGTTAGAAAATTGTGAGTTAGTCTGCAACGAAGCATAACAAAAAAATTCTTGTAAGAAAAATGTCTCATCGCGTGTGTGCCGCGACGTGTTTGCTAGAACTATGTATAGCAGTGTGAACGTGCTAGAGAATACAGTCGAAGAAATTGTGTCTGTCGTAGATTTGCTCGTACGTGTATTTGTGTAATTTATTTATGTTTATTAGAGAGCACTTTTTACAGATAATAATACGATTATCCGGTGTTCAAGCCGTAACCGGCTTAAATTTACTTACTTAATATTTAGGCCGCAAATAAAAAGCGCGAGAAGATAACATAAATGATAAAAACATGGAACGTGATAAAATAGAGATTCGATGTTAGGGTCGGACATTTTGCCTTGCCGGTTGTAACCGGTTTGATAATCGCATCCCGTGTAGATCGAAAACAGGGAGATTGAATTGCTCAGGTACGTTTTGCATAATCCTCGGCCACGGCGGGTTTGAACGAAGCTGACGCACCTCGCGGAGGAAGGTTCGCGAAACAGGATGTTATTTCTACGAGGGGCCGTCGAGGCTCCTTCGTTCTCGCGCGGACACCGGCTGACGGGCAGCCTCACGAATCGAGAACTTTCACGCGACCAGCACACTGTAGTAACTTTTCGAATCGTCCCGTCTGAACCCGTTTGTCAGAATTTCTTGTAATTGTTAATATCCTTTTGTGCTGAGTGCGAGGGCTTCGTCGATGTTTGTCGTGAAGGAATCCTCGGCTGTGGCGGAGCCTAGAAACAACGATGGGAATTGAGTTTTCTGGTACGATTTCTTCGTGATGTGATTCGTTGTTGGTTACCGCTTCTGCGACCCTTGAAGTTTCGTTTGTTAGTTCGCGCTGTGCGAACGGTCCCCGGGTCCTTTGTACGTCGCCTGTGTACGGCGCCTACACCACACGTACACATCTCGCTCTCACATTTATATTTCAAGAAACGCGCGACGAGGAGCCGAACAAGCGAACAACAAAGAGAGAACGTGAAAAATCCCGGAAATATTTATCACGTTTCGCAGTTTCATTCTCGTTACGTTTCAGGCGCGGCGAATGGTGAAATCGGGCTAACGATGTCGCGCGCACCTGTATTTTTCATTTCAACGGCCCTCCCGACATTGCGACATTGTTATTCGAACTGTACGCTGAGAAATCCGCGCGGCAGGGACGCTCGTCAAGAGAAAAGGAGAGCCGTTAATCATTCCTAGCAGCAACTCGGAATTAAATTCTCGGAGCTGCTCGATCGGCCGCGACGTACACGGAAAATCGCGGGAACGAGTGCATTAACTCCGACGTGGACGAAAGACCGGCGAGCTTTCTTTCTGTCCTGCCCGTTAATCGGTCGGATTTCTCGACGGGAACTTCGCAGCAAATTATTCCCCGCCTTTTTGCGCCAACGCACGGTGCGGCAAATATATATGACCGTTCGGGACAAAAATCCTGAACTCTAATTCATTTCTCATATAAGCACCTTAACCATCTTTTTAAGGGAAGGATTATTAAATGAACAGTTTTTTCTTTTTAATAAAAATTTGCCATTAACTAGGTTATGACATTGATGCGAAATTACGAATTGCATTACAATCGTATTGTTATTATAGAAATTGTGTTGTTTACTTACCGTTAGACGGTGTTGCTAAATAATTCGATGAAATTCGGTGAACGATTAATTCGATTTTTATCCGCCGCGCTGTGCAACGATCCCTTACCGGATACTTACGGTGTTTTCCACTGGATTCGCCTCGTTTTCACGGAATAATATTAAATCCGGTTCAACGGGAATTGCCAGGAAATATAAACAGCTGCAGGCGAACGACGCGATCAGAGCAGGGCCGAAACGTAATTCAATATTAACGTGATATCGTTAACTGATATTGCTAATACTATTATACAGTGATGTAAATATGGAGGCAAAAACGAAAGTACAAGTTAAGGTATGGAAAACTATATTTCTACATTTCATTTATCTGCATATCAAATGTGGGTACATATAAAATTTATTCTGATCCTGTGTTCGATTCCTTGTCGAACCCAGAATCCGAATAAATTTTATATTTATAGGCAATATATGGATAAATTAAATCTGAACATATAGTTTTCCATACCTTAAATTGTACTTTTATTTGTCCCCTTATTTACGTTATTTTGCAATAATATGAACAGTGTCTAATAAACGCTAACACATTGATATTGAATCAATCAATCGGCCTTGATTAAATCACATCTGACAGCCATTCCGAGCACCCTTCCCGATCCCTAGTTGCTTTGATATCGTTGGTAAAAAAAAACAATTCAACCAAGCATTATCCCAATCCTGACGAACATCACTGTTCCTTCAATCGCAGTCGTGGATTTAGCTGACTGTTTAGCAAAATGGCAGACGATCGATCCCGAAGATGCGCATCTCTCACGATTTTGTGATTCTAGGTAACTTTCAGGTGGCAAAAAGGATTGAAAATTTCGTCGTTATCGGTGTAAACGTATCGGAGACTATAGCAACAGCTGTTCCGAATACGCGATGTCCAAACGAGAAAGCGGTTAGTCCATTATCTCTGAAGAGTGGTCGGCGTAGAAGTTGCTTCAAGAAAAGAAAAAACGCGTTTAGTCCGCTTTCGTTGGGCGCAGTTCCAATTGATACGGTATCGAAATATCGTCTGGCGGATTCATTCAGCGGACGACAAGGGCCGAGGAGACGCGGCGGAGCCGATCGTTTCGTCCCTGGAAGCCATAGTACCGCTTTAATTCCGTCCCCGGTTACAAAACTCATTGTGAAGCGACTGATATCTTTCCCCGAGAAACAGAATATCCCGTAATTTTTCCCCATTTCCTCGTCCATGCCGCGGAGCGGTACAATAGAACGTTTCCGTTCCGCTCTGAAGCGTCTCCCCGCGAATTACCATAGCGCACCGCCCGCATTACCGTCGAAAAGAACCACGAAAACGGAAAAGACATATTAATAAAGAAGAACGAGCGGCTCGCCGGAGGATACCGAGAGCTCGCCGCGGAGCTTTTCTCCCGGGGAAAAAAGGAAATCGTCTCTTCGAGTTCATTGTGTCGTCCGAGGGCCGTCTAATGTGTCATTGTCGTTTTTATCCGTTCCCGATGGCCCGAGTGACGGCGATCGATCCGCCGCGGGGTCAGCCGTGTTGGTCCTCGAACAAGGGAATCGCATCTAACGAGACAAAAGGACGGCACCGGCCATATCCCGCCTTCCACAAGCTGAAACACTTGAAAAACGAGACGAAGAAGCTGCCACGACAAGGGTCCGAGTCACTCGATCCTCCCGGAAATTCGTTTTCGTACATCGCCGGCCGTGGGAACTCCGATAACATAGATTCCAAGGTGGATTCGGAACGATTGCTCGTCAATTTCGAATTTATTGCGAGTTCCAGGAAAGTTACGCGGCAATTAATAACGGCGATTATTCACGGCGGAGGGCTGATAACGTATTTACGCTCGTCAGAGGTTGACAAATGGCATGCGAACGACAGCCGTCTCGTTTCTGTCCCGCGATCGAAGACTTCAGCCGCGGCCACTGAATTAACAAACAGCCCGTGATATTTGTAAACCTCGGAAATATCAAAGTTAACGGCTATAAGGCTGACAGGAATTTTCCGGTATCCGCTCGAACCGTTACACGAGAACCGATACTAGCAATCAGATTTTTGGGATCCGTTTCGAGACGGCGTTCTTGCCCGTAGCTTTCGGATTTTTGGGATTTTTCTGCCGGAGAAAATGGAACGGCCTTTGCAGTGAACATTTTAGGGTAGTTTTTTATATGTTTCAGTTGCGTTCGCGATGTTTTTTTTGCGAAAGAGTTATAAAAATTGCAAGCGACACGAAGAAATTTGTTGTAGACGCCATTTCTTTTTCTTTCTTAAATAAATAAATGATGATAAGTGAAATATAATAATAAGTGAAACATAATAATAAATAAAAAATGATAATAATTAAAACATAATAATAAGTAAAATATGGTAATAATAAAACATAATAATAAATAAAACATAGTAATAAATAAAACAAAATAATAAGTAAAAAATAATAAATAAATCCTTTTCTTTTCGTTGTACTGTAAAACGTCGATTTGAAAATCCTAGATCCGGGAAGAACGTGTTCAGCGTAAATTGAATTCGAAGCCAAGGGGGTTGATAACAAATCACGGAGATCTTTTAGCAATTCTCTCTGAAAACAACGTGGCTGTCGGAAGCATGTCGCGTTGCATATTGTCCGTAGAACGCACGTAATTTCGATGAACTGATCTTCGGAACAAAGAGCGAATAATGAGATTCCAAATGAAGCTAAATTATTCATCGTCCGACCCAGAATTCCGGCGGGTATTGAGTTTTTCTCGAAATAAATCAGGGTTACCGGTGTCGGAACGGTATTATCTCTGTTACGAAGCGTGTGCAGTTGTTTTCCAGTCTCCGTTTAATATTTCATTGTTCGATTCTCGGGACACGGACGGCTGTTATCGTAATAAGCAGACCTTGAATATGCTCGCTATCCATTAAGCGTTCTCGGGTCAGCTTCCGGCGAAGATTATCGGACGTTTCGGAAATTGAAGTTTTCCGGGGCTGTTTTATCGCGGTGTACCGCCACCGAATCTCTCTTTCTGTCGATATTTCTGAAACTCGCAATAAGCATGATTGGAAAAGTAGCAGGAGTTCGCCGTGTTCGGCCCTCCGAGCATCGATGAATTTACAATTCATCGGGAATCACCGAATGAATCGGTGATCCGTTGGAGTTTCGGTAATCTGTTTCCCTCTTATTATCGTTTTTTCAATTTGTCCAAAGAAATTTCAGGTGCTGCGTGCGCGCACGGTGAGTAAAACATCCGTAAACATATTTTGTTCGGAAGAATTGACGATTGACATGGCCGAAGTTGTTGCTGAGAGTGTGGATGCACTATGACTGGGTTAGAATCATAGTGAGCCCCTATTGCGAGAAACACGGAATGTTGTTGTTTACTGCAATAAATTCTTCCTAATTTGACGCTGAAATTGCGCACACAAATGGCCAATTTGGGAGGAGGAGATATGATCGTTTTTATGGTTGTTATCGGTTGTGATCGGTAACTGTGAAAACGAGCGCAGGGTTCGAATAATCGTATCTCCTCTTCCCAAATTGTCCATTTTTTGTGCACTATCTGAGCATTAATTAGGGAGAATTATATTATACATTTAAATGTATCAGGCAAAAGCATTAATCTCACCATATTCCACTATTTCATTTCTACGCTCTTTGTATGTATCTGGAGATTTAATATTGAGATATTAAAATATGTGTATATTATGTAGATTTTTGTTTTACTATATTTTTATTTATATTTATATTTATTTTATATAATCTTTTTCAAAGTATCAATACGAAAATTTCCTGAAAAAAATATAATATTTAATTATTTTCGAAAACAAAATTATTATTGGAAAAATGAAACTTAATATGTCCTTTCCTTTAAACTTCATTATTTAGGCATATCTCAGTCAAAGCAGCGATGTGTATCATTTACTGACCCAATTTATTGTCAACATAACATAGTGCTAAGTTAATTTATAGTAACTTCATTATTTATTTCACTCGTCTTCTTAACATTTTGACACGTATAAATCATATTTTAAGACGTACTATACGTCAACATTTTCGAAAATATCACGCCACTATGATTCTAAGCCACTGATACGTGTGCGTATGAATTCTGTACGACTCGTGTGCGAAATATCATAGAGAGCAGACATTCGAGATTAAAGAGAAAGGTCGTACAGCGACGTGTCGTGTGCGTGGGCTAGAGCGGATTCCTCTGTTGTCATATTCACATTGTTTCCGTTCCTTTCTGTACTTTACACTAAAATATGTCCGTGAACAGTATTAATCCTTTTCCAACATATTGTAGCATTCGTCGAACAAAGTAGAACAGCCTAGAATGATCCTCGATTCTTCGTTCGAGATTGAATATATTTTTTGCAATCGCTGAACTGCAATTTGACCTTTTGAGGACGAAGATTTCATAAAAATAATGAAAACAACAGCCAAATTCTTGAACCATGGCAAACGAGATGCACCTGTTCCGTAATTTCGATGTTCAAACAATGAAATTACGTGCCGTAGACGTTCCTCCTCAAGGGGTCAATGTCAAATAGAAGGATTATCGAAACTCCTGTGTAGTTGCTAGGCCCCATTACCACCATGAAATATCATGATTTGTAATACAATGAAATGTATTTTCTTTGTTTCTCAAGCAAGGATTGTCGAAGTAAGTAAGCACGGTAATACCGAGCCCCTAAATAATAGAGAAGAAGTATACAGGTAAGAGGAATTAGTCCACTAGTGCTAGCTGTGATCGAGAATTATAAAGCCACCAAAACGAGACAACAGTTCCCAATATCGGGAACAGCACGCTTTCCGAACAAAATCACCGAGAGACCACGATCATTTTTCAATGTACACCGCAAACCGTTCAACCCTGACACTATAACCCCCCCACCCCCGTATACGATGAGACATATCGTCAATCAATAGTCACCGGTGTCGTACAGCTTGCAATTAGATGCTCGGTTTTCGAACGAGCGAACGTTTAATCGAAAGACACCGAGAACTATAAAACGAGTGTGAACATGACCGAGCAACTCAATAATTCAAAACGAACCACAACACGAAGGAATAGAACCGATCGATAGCCCAGGCGTTGTTTTGCAGCGGTAAAAAGGAATGCGAGCCGGGGCCGGCCGGCGTAAGTAATCGCGGTGCGAATCATTTGTTCCAGGTGAAAAACGCCGCGGCGAACGTGTTGCGCGAGACGTGGCTAATTTACAAGTACACGCGGCTCGTGAAACGTGTCAATCCGGGACGTGTTCGAACGCACCAGCGGAAATTTCTGTTGGCTATATACAAGTAAGTCGATATAACTGGCTCCCCCCTGATTGACAACTCGTAGCCGGCCTGTACACCGGCGCAATTAATATCCGCATCCGTCATGCAAACTTTCAGGCTCAGGAAAGTGAAAATGGATCAGCGAAAATTAATGGACAACGCCAACACCATCACGGACATGGCCAAGGTACTTTTTGCAGGGAAACGGGACTTATGGTCTCGCGCGACACCGAGGCTTCGGCGTTCGCGAGAAACTAGGATTTGCAAAAAATTAGGAGTTGTAAGAAACTAGAACTCGCAAAAAACTAGGATCTGCAAAAAGCTAGGATTCCCTAGAAACCAGAGTCACGCAGAAACTCGGTTTTCGAACTAATACAAAGCAGAGACAAAGTATAATCGAGGCAATACATTCATTCAAGTCAACACAATTGACATACATTTTCCATGACCATGAGCAACCACACGGTACCTTTCATTGGCAAATATGATTTTGGTAAGCGTAAAGTAACCATTATCGTAGGCCACTTACTAACTTGCGACAACTGCGATTTCAATCTGTGATAACTTCATTGTCGCAGTCAAATTTATTGTATATACTATCCTCCCTCCGTTCAAGCACTTCCAATTACTTCCTAAATACACTTTACACACACTCTTGCACATGTATATATACATTCCACGAGGAATTAAACGACAGCACCCTCGGATAGAAATGCTTCTACAAGACTGCATGTCCACCAGGTCAATGAAGATTTTACCTTGTAGAAAGAAGAGAATACAAGGACACTGTACACGAAGTGATACTAATTGAGCCTCTCGGTTGACAAAGTGGGCTAAGTTGAAAATTATGAAAAATGAGTTAATTGTAGAAATAGTTAGTATTAAGTGTATAGTTCTTTTACTTAGAATTAAAAATTTTGTATATTTATGTTAATATTTTACGCTCAGTATCGTACAATTTTTCATAAACTTAAACTAACATATACAATCAAATTGAAATTACCTTTCTTACAGTACAGCTACAATCTGTTCTGAATTTTTTACGAAATATTACACAAATGTCCAATTTTCAGTATTCCAGAACTCACGCCATTTGTCGACTAAGAGGTTCAATTGTCTGGAGGACCCTTGGCAGAGAGTGTTCGGTTCCGATCAAATCCACTTTGCAGCCACACCTGCATCTCGCTGCAGTTTCTTAGAATCGTAGAAATATACCGTAGAGCCTCGATTAACCGAACTGGATTTTCCTTGATCTTAATTACTTAAATCTTTTATCACTCCAAATAACAACAACGAAACAATAGAAGGACCTCGATTACAGTTTCCATGAAAGCCTTTGGATCGAACACCCTCTGCCAGGTTGTCTCAGCAGGTTATCCTTGCGTTCGGTTCGATTAACGATTGATTTTCTGATCGCAGACGCAGAACACAGTCTACGAGATCGTCTCGGACATGAGCACGCGTCAGGACACCCTCGAGGAACGTCTGGTGGGTCTGGAGGACCGGCTGATCGGCCTAGAAGACAAACTGTCCGGCCTCCAGGTTCAGCTGGAGCTGCTGCCAGAGGAGCTGACCAGGTGCCTAGCTCAGCACGCGGAGCGTATGGAGCAGAGGCGTAACTTCCTTCATCCGAACGCGGCGGTCGCGATGGCTGCAGCGGCGGCGGCGTCGGCGTCGTCCGGCGGCGTCGGCAGCGGTGGCGGCGGCGGTGGCTGCGGCGGCGGCGGCGGCGGCGTCTCCGCCGGAAACACCCTGTCGATGAGCATATCCGGCAGCAACGTGTGCGCCCATCATCCGCTGGCCAGCATGTCAAACTCACCTCTGCTGCCATACTCGAGGAGCGTGCCGAGCGCGCCCAGCACCATATCCCTTCACCCTTGGCCAGTCAGCCCGGTCCTGCCTCCGGTGTCGAGTCGTACGCCACACCTGGTCCCGGAGACCGGCAAGCACCAAAGCCTGGCACATTCCACGGTGGCGGCGACCACGACCTCGCAGTCGGCCACCAGGCTCACCTCGCAGTCCAGAATGGGAGGACTGGGCAATAGTCAGGGCTCCGACAAGTCTCCACACAGCTGAGTCTCGTCTTTGCAGCCGCAGCACTCTTACTAAGGACCGCCGACCGCACCTGTCGGCGGCCCCGTAGACGCTCGTACACCTTCGAGTCCCTCTCATCAACGGTCTACCAACTCTCTCTTTCTCTTCCTCTCTCTCTCTCTCTCTCTCTCTCTCTCTCTCTCTCAACGGGCCCACTCGATCCTGTTAGACCGCGGACCCGATCGAATGAGAAAAGTCAACAGAATCCAAGACTAGGTCTTCATTTGCTACCCAGCTCTTGAACCTTGAGGCGATGACAAACCTGGACGTAGCCTGCGATCTTCGTTCGATCAGGACCTAGCCCTAACTTCTGGATCGGTGGAGTTCAGTCGGCGGTGGTTCAACCTCGGTCACTCGCGAACCCGATTCAGTTCTTGATGCGTTAAGAATTCACCTAGTGCCGCGGCGGCTAGACGGTTCTGGACTTAGGAATCTTAGAACCGGCTAGACAAACGGTTCGCCTAAATGGTAGCAACGGTAGTGATTCGTCCCTCGTTGGAACTCGAGGGCGTCTCTGTCTCTCTGAGTACAGTCGAACCCCGATTATTCGAATCTCGAGGGAAGAACTGAAATCTTCGAGTTATAGAGGTTTCGAATGATCGAAGCCTTCGAAAATTCGACTTACAGAAGGCGTGCGCAAGAGTTAAGAATTTGCTGATTGTTACTACACAAAGCATTTGTTCGCACAATTTCAACTGCATTTTCGTTAATAATGGAAAGAGTGCTTGTAGGGATTCCAAATACGGTAGCGATGTCCTTCTTCTTTTTTAATCCTCTTCTCGCTGCTTCGATTACTTTCACTTTCTTGGCAGGTGTTAGTGAATCGGTTTTTCTTTTAGAATTCATTTGATCAACGTCAACACAAAGGTGTTCGACTGACAAAAAACGATTATGTAGTTTCCGTGGGCATGCGCGTGCCTACAAGGGATACGGCTAGCGTATAATAATAATAATGAAGATAGTACCGATCAAATGGTCACTGACGCGCGAGGCACTGATATGGCTAGAACTTCGAGTCATAGATGCGGCGAGGATAAAAGTTCGACTTGTAAAGATGAACTTTGGTTTGCTGGCTATTCGAAATTCGAGTTACAGAGATGAAAGAATGCGTCCGAAATTGTGGAAATTAATTCGAGTTGAAGGATGCTTTATCTCGATTTACAAAGGTTTTTACAATACAGCGGAAACGTTCGCTTCGCGGAGGTTACCGAGTTCAAGCGGTTCGATTTATCGAGGTTCGACTGTACCTTCTTCGCGGGCTAAAATATTCCTTCCGGTAAAAATGAAAGGGAAATATTTTCCGTGTGCTCTTGTATCGGGAAACCCGGCGGATCCAATACTTTATTTCGAGACTATCGTTTCGAAGAAAGCCAGCCAATTTTTCTTCGGAAGATTGGACCATCCCTCGAGGATCCAGGCTCGCAGTGACCGAGCATTGAACCCAGCAGCGCGCTGCTCTCGCGACGAAAGTCGCGCAGCAGCGTAAACAACGGGTCCAATCCTCTTCCCGATTGACCGCGTGTTCGAGCCGGAGGTGAAACCGGAACCGGGAACGACCGAAATTCGAAGGGACTCGCGAGGACCCGCGAGGATCCGCGAATGAGACGATACGGAGGGACTCCGAGGTGCGAGCGTCCTCTTCCACTCGCTGCGAGCTGCTCCCCTGCCCAACTTGCGTGCCTGAAAACTTTTTTCTTAANCCTCTCATCAACGGTCTACCAACTCTCTCTTTCTCTTCCTCTCTCTCTCTCTCTCTCTCTCTCTCTCTCTCTCTCAACGGGCCCACTCGATCCTGTTAGACCGCGGACCCGATCGAATGAGAAAAGTCAACAGAATCCAAGACTAGGTCTTCATTTGCTACCCAGCTCTTGAACCTTGAGGCGATGACAAACCTGGACGTAGCCTGCGATCTTCGTTCGATCAGGACCTAGCCCTAACTTCTGGATCGGTGGAGTTCAGTCGGCGGTGGTTCAACCTCGGTCACTCGCGAACCCGATTCAGTTCTTGATGCGTTAAGAATTCACCTAGTGCCGCGGCGGCTAGACGGTTCTGGACTTAGGAATCTTAGAACCGGCTAGACAAACGGTTCGCCTAAATGGTAGCAACGGTAGTGATTCGTCCCTCGTTGGAACTCGAGGGCGTCTCTGTCTCTCTGAGTACAGTCGAACCCCGATTATTCGAATCTCGAGGGAAGAACTGAAATCTTCGAGTTATAGAGGTTTCGAATGATCGAAGCCTTCGAAAATTCGACTTACAGAAGGCGTGCGCAAGAGTTAAGAATTTGCTGATTGTTACTACACAAAGCATTTGTTCGCACAATTTCAACTGCATTTTCGTTAATAATGGAAAGAGTGCTTGTAGGGATTCCAAATACGGTAGCGATGTCCTTCTTCTTTTTTAATCCTCTTCTCGCTGCTTCGATTACTTTCACTTTCTTGGCAGGTGTTAGTGAATCGGTTTTTCTTTTAGAATTCATTTGATCAACGTCAACACAAAGGTGTTCGACTGACAAAAAACGATTATGTAGTTTCCGTGGGCATGCGCGTGCCTACAAGGGATACGGCTAGCGTATAATAATAATAATGAAGATAGTACCGATCAAATGGTCACTGACGCGCGAGGCACTGATATGGCTAGAACTTCGAGTCATAGATGCGGCGAGGATAAAAGTTCGACTTGTAAAGATGAACTTTGGTTTGCTGGCTATTCGAAATTCGAGTTACAGAGATGAAAGAATGCGTCCGAAATTGTGGAAATTAATTCGAGTTGAAGGATGCTTTATCTCGATTTACAAAGGTTTTTACAATACAGCGGAAACGTTCGCTTCGCGGAGGTTACCGAGTTCAAGCGGTTCGATTTATCGAGGTTCGACTGTACCTTCTTCGCGGGCTAAAATATTCCTTCCGGTAAAAATGAAAGGGAAATATTTTCCGTGTGCTCTTGTATCGGGAAACCCGGCGGATCCAATACTTTATTTCGAGACTATCGTTTCGAAGAAAGCCAGCCAATTTTTCTTCGGAAGATTGGACCATCCCTCGAGGATCCAGGCTCGCAGTGACCGAGCATTGAACCCAGCAGCGCGCTGCTCTCGCGACGAAAGTCGCGCAGCAGCGTAAACAACGGGTCCAATCCTCTTCCCGATTGACCGCGTGTTCGAGCCGGAGGTGAAACCGGAACCGGGAACGACCGAAATTCGAAGGGACTCGCGAGGACCCGCGAGGATCCGCGAATGAGACGATACGGAGGGACTCCGAGGTGCGAGCGTCCTCTTCCACTCGCTGCGAGCTGCTCCCCTGCCCAACTTGCGTGCCTGAAAACTTTTTTCTTAATATTTAAATATATATTCGAGAAAAAGAAACACACGAACTCCATCTTATCTTCTGTATACCTCGTGAAACGGGAAATGGACGCGGACGAGGCACAAAAAAAACTGCGTGTGTACGTACGTATATCAAGAGGAAAACGTGAAAACGACGTCTCCCCTCGACGAGACCAATCGCCGGCTAGCTCTCTTAAAGATGGACGCCTCCGCGCCGGCGACCTTGACCGTCTTCGATCGAGGCTTCGCCGGCGATCATTTTCATTTGGACGGACAAAAGTAGCGCAGAATATTTTATGAACACTTTTGCACGAGGAAGATACGCGGAACGGATGATCTCGGGGACGCGATGATGCGGGCCGGCGGCGCATCCCCAATCAGGCGAACGGCTTCAGTTTGATACTTCCGGTCGTGACGGACCCTTGATACGTCTCCGATCGGCGAACAGTTTCTCTTGCATCCTCTCGCGACCTGGCTCCCCTGTTCCTGCCGACACACAGTGCCACAGAAGTCCGAGAATTCAAGTAATTGACGGATTTCATTGCGAAAGCATTTGATGATCTTCATGGTTGGTGATTACGAAGCTGAATTTCAAATTTCAAAAGACAAACATTCGGATCCAATACGGCACAAATGTTGGTATCTGCATGTTTTCGAGAGTGCTGATTGCGAATCTGAATGTACAAATATCGACAGAAATCTCGATTCCATTCTATGTACTTGTCTGCATTTCATCCTCGGGGCAGAAAATAATTTCTTCATCGCTCCCATCGCGTCGTCGTTGATGTCGATGAACGCATCTTTCTTGTTCAGATATTTCAGGTTCAAAGTGTTCAATTATTGAGCTGGTGTCATCATTTAAATGTCCTTTATACGTCATGGTTCTCCTCGCGCCATCAATTCCCTGGCAACACTGGTGTCGAGCGGCTATCGGCCGGTAAAAGTCGAGCAAAGTTGGACTTACTTTCGAAGGCTAATTGCTATAGGATAATAACGGAGGAAAAATGGCTTCGTTTGGCGCATCCCTATTACAGTTTGCTGCGGGGTTCAAGGGGCAACAGAGTGCCGCGCGAAGGGAGAATGAAAAGTGATCTCATCCGCTTTAACGTCCGTAGGTTACGTAGGATATTACACTGTTAGCGTACGCAAGCTGTATGTGCACGGCGAACGGGTACAAAGGCCGCGTTCCCAACGAGATGGAAGACAGTTTTTTTACAAACGGGCCACGCACAGCGCAGGATACGCGCGCGTCAGGTGCACACCGGTCGCCTAACTCCGTAAACATTGATCCTGCCGAAGGACTTTGGATTCGAAAACTTTGCAAAGAACTGGCGCGATCGTTCGCGCTGGGGGCCATTCCTCGCCGAATTTCTCGACGCGGAACGGTGAAAACGTTCGGGGAGTTTCGAAATACTGCCTCGTAATTCTTAACCATAAAATTAGTGGCAAAAAATGTAAATGTCTACGTAGATGCTGTACCATTGCAATTGATTCGGACGATTGTTATTAGTAGACTATGTCTTCGCGCAAAATGAAGCTTGTCTAAGTTAATTGTAAGAAACACAAATTAGACGAAAATCTGTTCCACCTTTCAATAACAAGTGACAAGTTGAAAGTAACGTAACAGCATCCTTGAATGTTACCAATGTCTTTACGGTTTTGTGCTTGATTTATTCGTTTTCGTCGCAAATGCATCAAACCCGCTAGGTTCTACTTTGAAACATAGTTTGAAACATAGTTCGAAACATAGATTCTACGTTTGAAACAGTTTCGGACTCGGCTGAAGTTGGTCTCGCTACA